TACAAAGTAAGTACTACTCCATGCCTCACAAAACCTGCCTGCCTTTCTCTTGTTAAAGAGTATTGAGAGAATTTCAGCCATCTTCTACATTACCATAAGTTACATTGGTTTGTTTGAATCTGGGTAGTATAAATATAGCAAACAACAGCAACCAGAATATGGCACCCTGCCCAGTGGCTAAAGTTCTGTGCTTTAGATGGGAGAATCTTGTGGAGCTGCCCCACAGCCAAATCCATATGGAGAAACCCACCTTTGAGAAAACTGGTCAGACTTTAATTTTACTTTAGCTGGAAGGATCATTTGTGGTCTTCTTTCCTCCCTGCTTCCAAAGCCCCTATATTGTAGCAACTGTCTATGCCAGTCTCAGCCAAGAAAAAAATGGGTGCAATTCCATCTAAAGTCAGCCATTGTCTTCCCAAAAAGCATCCAGAGAAAATTATTCCAGAATTGCGATTTAGGCACTTCTTGCCCAACAACCTCATCCCAAGCAAATCTAGAGAGTGGGGGTTAAACTAGTATTTTCTGCCTAGCAATGAATTGCATTGGCACCAGACTGGTCTGAGTCAAGCTTTTCATTCTCTGACTGATTAGGAATGCTTGGTTTTGTGTGAAACCATACTTGTTGGAGCACACGATTCCTTTTGCAATCACCTGGCAACACTTTATAAAAGAGAGAGATTCTTTTAAAGCTAGGCCGGGGGCTAAGAGTGCAGACACTCAGCAGCTGGAACATTTTGGCTGAGGATTAGAAACACGTACATTTGTATAGCTTGCCTTTCTGTCCTGATCAGGTGAAATCACAATGTGCCATTGATACTTGTTACAAATACTAGCTATGTTGATACGGTTTACATTACCTAAGGTTGATAGGTTATGCACAGGCCTGGAACAGAACACCAGATCCCGACCACCACCTATGTGGGGGAAGTCCAGTATCAGATTTGAACGTCTTGTTTCATATTCCTCACATTTTCTGATAACAGCAAAATCTTATGCCATTTTCAAACACCTTCCCAGTAGAAGTTGCATCGAAGGATTCTTAGTTTTTTGGTCATGTCAGCAGAAGGAAGGTGAAGCTTGTGCAGGTTGCGCATATCATAAAAGCACCTGTGGGTTGGGATTATACAGTGTTTTAAATGCTGCTTGATAGTGTTGTGTCTTCCACTGACATGTGGAGCTCAGCACTAATCAAATGAAAGTATGGAGCTGGGTATGTGGAACATTTGCAGGGAAGTTTGTTTCTCCGCTTGTTTTTCCAGGGGTATTCGAGATGACATTGAAGAGGAAGATGACCAAGTGAGTTCCTATGCAGTCTTTCTTATCTATATCCCCTCCAAAAATCTAACAAGCAAAAATTGAATACCACTGAAATACATTGGGCAATTCAGGAAGCGAGTCTAACAGTTTCAGTGATGTCCCTACCGTTCCAGGTGCTTCACCAAAGAAATAAAGTATTAACAGGCCATTTCACAGCTCTCACTAGGTTTGAGAGGATTTCTTGTTGGACTGAGTATAAAGTGTGGATCTAGATTTTTTTTTTTAGTACTTCAGGCTGTGCCAAATCTAAAATTATTGGAGTCCTCTAATGCAGTACATCAGTGGAAGCTTAAATCATGCTGACAATCGGCAGCCAAATTTGTGGCTCTTCAGGGCAAGGATTGCATCTTACTCTTTACGTACAAGGTGCCCCAGTCCTCTGAGGTTTCTGGGCATTATCATCTTACAAATAATAAATGAAGAAAAGAGGTTGCATTTCAAAATGTACTCAGTTCATTTATTTGACCTGTAGTCTTAATTATTTGAGACTTTATACTGCATTAGTAATTATCCTGTTAATTTAAGTAATGTAGAACCATGCAAGCACTCTCTTGCCTGTTAAAGACTGTGTTTTCAGTTAGGTGCATGTAATTGTGCTTCCATTTAAATAAAACTGTATTTTGCATGCATCTGATATTGTGCACATTATGCACATGTGGTTAGTCAGCAACTAATTAGACATGTGATTTGCACAAATACCCAATATGTGTGCAGTGTTAGAAGAGACAAATATTTGCATACAATAGTGTGACCTTGGAAAACTGGCCCTATATCTTTGCTGAGAAGTCAGTTTATCATGTCCCTGTGATAATTTTTTGATTTGCAGATTTAACAGTGAGAGATAATAGCACATATGTTATATGCTTTGGGTGGGATCTTCCAGTGCCTTCTAATTTGTGATTCTCTTGAAGGATTCTTCTGAAATTGTTTCTTTGCCATTAGGACTGGTGTTGACTGTCCATTAGTTATCCTAAAGCAAAACTCAGTTCTTTTAGTAAAGTTGGTGGGAGTAGAAAATTGATAGTTTGTGGAGCTTTAATGTTTGAGGGGAAAAAACAAATAGAGAAACTTTTTCAGACTTAAGTGTTTTAAAAGCTGCAGCATTCATTCTGTAGTCGTCATGGGTAAAGGGATTGATCCTACCATTAGTATAGCATGGCATTTTTCCATAGAAGCTTTTCTTAATCAGTCCTTGAGGGTGGGGAGGGGGTGTTGTTAAGTAACATTTTGTAGTTACTTAACTGTGGTACTAACTGACCATTGTAGCTGCTCTTTTCATTTCTTCTGATTGTCCTTCCTCTGGACTTTACAACTATTGCTATTTACTAGAAGAGGTAGTTCTAGTGAACATTTTGTACTTCAGTGGTAGGTGTTGAAGCAAGCAACCGTTTAACGTATGCACCAATTAATCAGAAATGCAGTAGGATTTCACCATTGTATGTGTGTATGATTTTACTGATATGTTTTGCTGCAGGAAGCTTATTTCCGCTACATGGCAGAAAACCCTAATGCTGGTGTGGTACAAGAAGAGGAGGAAGATAACCTGGAGTATGACAGTGATGGAAATCCAATTGCACCATCCAAAAAAATCATCGATCCACTTCCACCTATCGATCATTCAGAGGTGGGGATTGCTTTTAAACTTACAGATTTGGATATCCCCCAGTACTAATTAGACAAGCTTGTGGAGCAGCTCAAACTGGTGTTTACATATAATTTACAGGTGTTATCAAATCAATCTTGATATGCTTGTGATAATAGTGCAGGATAGAATGAGAGAATATAGGTGTAAGTTATGGGAAAAAATGTAAGAAAAAGTGAGGCCATTTTTTATACAGTGAAAAAGTGAAAGGATGAGGGGGTGGTAGAGCCAATCAGTACAAATGTACTCCATGTAAAATTGTTCTGGTTAATTCAGCACTCCAAGGGCTTATTCAGATTATGATGAATTATCCCTTAATGACGATTTATCACAAGTCAATAATTGGGATCATTGGCTTGGAATCAGAGCAATGGCAAATTTAACCATAGCTGTGAATTATCTCACAGGTGAATTAACCAGTTCCCATTACATCCTTTCAGACATGAAGTGTCCATGATGGGTGACTGTCCCCTTCCTTGCAAAGCAAATTTTTCTGACATAACCTTAATTTTTTGATTGCTGTAATATGAGCCATTGGGTGTAAGATTCTGTGATGACAAAGTACAGCAAATCTCAACTTCTTTGAGCAACCAACTTATCAAATTAATATGTCGTCACTTTCATGGTGTTGCCTCTTAAATAGTTATGTATGTCTTACCCAGCCGTAGAGTAGGCCAAGCCCAATAAGGGGTAAGAGCCTTTTACAGCAAATGGGAAGGTAGACAGTGGTGGCATGCTAGAGCCTGGTACAGAGGATAGGTAGCAGAGGAACCCAGAGGGTGAGTCTCAGTATTCTGAAGGAGCAGGGTTTAGTGTATCAAGAGTGAGTAGACACTACTAGGCCAGGCTGTGAAGAAATAGGAACAGGCTTAGGATACTAGCTGTTCTCTGGGAGAACTTGCAAAAGAAAGTGTCTGTGGCCTCAGTCCTGCTGAACTTATTTAAGACGCCTCTTGATTGCAGTGAGAATAGAATAATTTGCTTGAGTGTAACCCTGTTTAGTTTTAAAGTGTCCTCCACATGACTGAATATTAAAAATCATTTCAGATAATTGTCCTCCTGTCTTAGTAAGTTTTTGCTTACAAAAGAGCAAACCTTCCCAGAAAATTCACAGTATGACCTTTTGACCCCCTGAACTGAGTCATTTGCCTTTGTGCAGATTGAATACCCTCCATTTGAGAAGAACTTCTATGATGAGCACGAAGAGATCACCACCCTCACACCCCAGCAGGTGGTGGAGCTGCGACATAAGTTGAACCTTCGGGTAAGCTGGATGTAAAACCGTACTTGACAGACTGCCAGTTGTCAGGATTGCTTTGGTGGCTGTGGCCAATATTTTCACAAGCAACTATTGATTTTGGGATATCTAACTTGGTACATCTTTGGTTTCAGAGATCAAGTGCTCAGCATCTCCTGAAAATTGGACCTATTTGAGGTTTCTCAAGTTGAATGGGTTGGACATAAAAAATTACCAGTTGCTTTTCAACTAAAAATGCATACAATGAAGAACTGAAAGCTATAATCATATTTTGTAAAAGATCTCTGCAACCTGCACTCTTAGACAGTGTTTCTCAAGCAGGGTACCACAGTGCCTTAGAGTGCCTTGTGACCTTGCAATATTAGCTCTTTTAGGTATGCAAACACCTGTGCTTAATTCACAGGATAAGCAGTGAGTTTTCAAATAGGAATTCCTGGCATCAAAAACTTTGAGCTGTTTTAGTCTTTCTGAGTTCTTTGCAATGAAAGAACTCTTATTTTTCTGTTGTCAAAATATGAGTGAGAGCTCTGAGCTGGCACTTTCTGATGCGTACCTGGAATCTAAAAAAGGTTGAGAACAGCTGATCTAGGACCTTTGGAAATTGGATATGTAATGTTATTTATTTTGAAGAATTTTTAATGATGAAATATTAAATGCCAATGGCCATTTCAAATAGAATTAGTTTTTTCAAACTTGATTATGCAGTTAATTACACATTTCCTTGTATCAAGAGAAGCAATTGTATTTCAAGCCATATATATGAACTACTGTGTCCAGTTCTGGGCGCCACACTTCAAGAGGGTTGTGGACAACATGGAGAGGGTCCAGAGGAGGCCACTCGCATGATCAGGGGGCAGCAGGGCAGGCCTTATGAGGACAGGCTACGGGACCTGAACCTGTTCAGCCTCCATGAGAAGGCTGAGGGGGGACCTAGTGGCCTGTTACAAACTAGTCAGGGGGGATCAGCAGGTATTGGGGAAGTCCCTGTTCCCCCGAGCACTAGGAGTGACCAGGAATAATGGTCACAAGCTGGCAGAGGGTAGATTTAAGCTAGATATCAGGAGGTGCTACTTCATGGTCAGGGTGGCTAGGATCTGGAACCAACTTCCAAGAGAAGTGGTGCTGGCTCCTACCCTGGGGGTCTTTAAGAGGAGGCTAGATGAACACCTTGCTGGGGTCATTTGACCCCAGTACTCTTTCCTGCCATGGCAGAGGGTCGGACTAGATGATCTACTCGGGTCCCTTCCAACCCTAGAAACTATGAAACTATATCTATTTCTGCAGCTTTATCTTCTGCATAACAGAAACAAAAAAGTTATGATTATCTGCCTCTAAGTCAAAATGTCTAAGTTCTAGTCCAAGTTCTGTAACTTAGGCAGATCCACTTAACTTTCTTCTTGTAGATTTTCTTCAAATGTAAAATAGGTGCGTTGTTCACTTGCCATAGAAAGGTTTGTAAATCTGTGCTTGTTAGTGCATTAGGGTTCACAGCTGGAAGGCACGCTAATTTCCCCCCCAGATTTGTAGTTTTGATGCTTTCATAGCTTTTTACAAACATTGAATCATGGACTGGTTTCTTATTCTCTTTCCTTTGCACCATTAATTTTAATAATCTGCAGTGAAACCTTACATACAAAGCTTGCACCTTTTGGTATTTGCCTTACATTTTCATTTCAACAGACAAAGATAATTTGTCTTGGATATAAAAGCAGGCTTTTAAAATTTGTGTAAATACCTGTTTTCTTCCTTCCAATTACAAATTCTTCTTATACAGATGATGTGTCTCTTCTTTCATCCCCCTCTAGGTCTCTGGTGCTGCTCCTCCAAGGCCGGGCAGTAGTTTTGCCCATTTTGGATTTGATGAACAACTTATGCATCAGATTAGGAAATCTGAGTATACCCAGCCCACTCCTATACAGTGTCAGGTATGTGCTGTTGCTTCACTTTCTTCTAACTACAATGAGAATAGATGCAGATATTAAAAGGATCCATAGTCCATAAAAAGCTGTGTGCAGTTCTGATGGCCTGTGTCAGGGATCAGCAACCTATGGGCACAGACCTGGGTCTTCAGTGGCATTTGATCTGGCACTCTTCTCCTGCCACTGGAGAGAAGTGCCAGCTGCAAGAGCTTTCCTCATGCAACCAGGAAGATGATTAGCAGCAGCAAGGTTGTAGCACCTGCCCACCTACTTAGGGTGGGCTGTTCCAGCCAGAAATGATTGTCTGTTCTTGGCCTTTGTAAAGCTAAGAGAGGTAGTTAGCCATGTAAATCTGATGTCAAGCGGAAGGCAGTTAGTGTTATTTGTAGACTAACTAAGATGCATATAGAGCACAAGCTTTTGTGAACTCAAGTTCACCCTGAAGAGGAATTGTGTGTGTGTATGCGTGCACACAATTGTTTTTCACCTTTATTTTTAAAAAAATGGTCTACCTACTGCTTCTTTGAGTGTTAGTTGCAAATAAAGTCTAGTCCATGTGTCTTGTTTTTTCAAATCGGCTCAGCCAAAGAGAATTTTAGCACCTTCGGGTGACTAATCTGTTGCTCAGAAGACTATAGGTATTTTCTTTCTTTCTTTCTTTCTTTCTTCTTACAGTTCTTCATATTTTATGCATTGTTTTAGAAATATTAGATAAAGTGAACAGAGAGCATTGTGTTAAGGGCATTTGGCTAGCAAACAGTTAACACCTAAGTTACATAGGATGTGCTTTGATTTGTTTTGTTGTGGCTCTTGAGGTAATTCCTAGCTGTTGTTTCACTTAAATTGGTATGCATTTGGAGGTGGGGATGCCAGTGCAAGGGATTCCACCACATATGCGGGCAGATAAAGTTGTCAGGAATGTAAGGATATACATTCTGTGGCTTTTTGACATAAAAAATAAAAGCAGTACATATTTTTCTAATTATGCCTAACATTTAATTGCAATACTGCACTTCAGGCAGAGGGAATCTGTTGGGAGAGCTTAGTCTGTGTTATATACATTGCTGGATTAACAGCCCTAGGGATAAATTGATTACTTCAATCTTCAGAACTTGTACAGGTTGGACAGGAGGAGAAAAAGCTTTCCTGTCCTTCCTGACCACTAGGTTCCATCTGCAGCAGGAGGGAACAGATGTTGCCAAGAGTGTGAGTGCATTGTTTGGTCTGCTCTCTCTGCTGAAATTGCAAACACAGTAGGGATTGTTGTACATTTACCCACTGGATTGTATCAAACCCAGTAACTTTATGTAGGCCACCAAACAATCACGAAGCCGTAGTAACTTTCAGATTACTAACAGACTCATCCAGATCTGAACTTGGTGACTTGGATGCAAGAGCTCATACAGTAGTTATATTACGATCCCTATGTTACAGATCCCTTGTGACATCTTGTCCCCGTATTCATGTGGACTTTAAATCAATATGCCTTATTAAGCTATTTCTGTGTGACCTGGCAGATCAATTTAGAGAGCTGTTTTTTATTTTCAGGGTGTTCCAGTTGCACTGAGCGGCAGAGATATGATTGGCATAGCTAAGACTGGCAGTGGCAAAACAGCAGCCTTTATTTGGCCAATGTTGATTCACATCATGGATCAAAAAGAACTGGAACTGGGTGATGGTCCCATCGCAGT